GTACAGCCAAGTTGCGATGAGGCAAGAGCATTTAAATGTAAATATTCGTTTCTCTCCTGTGAAACTCATCTTCATCACTACATCTGGTCAACATCTCTTACTTTTCATACTGGAAATCCGCTGCTACTGCCGCAGCTACAGGAGCCGAGCAGTCGATTATTTTTGCACTCACAGCCTATCATCAGCTCATCTCAACCGTCAAATGGGCTTCGCGGCTTAACTGCCTTGTCCGGTCAGGCAGCAACCAGTCGAGTGCCTCCGATCGCACGGTTCGACGACCCTGCTGTTGCCAGTAGTTGTGACGACTCTGGCGAGGCAGTGGCTGCATCAGATGCCTTCCAGCACAAGATAGATGGAGGTCAGACTTCAGCGGCTTGCACCGCTGATTGGGCAGATGAGGAGCCATTAGATGACTATGTGATCGTAAACGCGGATGGTTCAGGTAAATTCATCTCTGATTCATACTTCACATTTAGACTAGTTCCTTTCCTTTGCATGCCGTTTGTGCTTTCCTCAGTTTTTCAATAAAGTCCTAACTGGGCTGTCACAATATACTTGAGATCCATTTATCATTAAAAGCCTAATGCATTACTCGAAATGATAGCTTGTAATCGAAATAACATAAGAAGGGAATTGCTTCGTTGTACAGGGAAATCTACATCTTTGGCTGCAAATGGCATTTTCACAAAGCAACTTTATTAATCGTACCTTTCTTTTTTTCTTTGGTTGTATTAGAATTGCCTGACAGACTGTGTTTTTATACTGGCGTACCTTTCATTTCGTTTGAGAAGGCGAGTCGAAGGGATTCGTAGATTGGCCTCACCGGATACCGCAAGAGGGTTGCTTTGGACTTTTGCCTGTTGAATTGTGCGAAGAAGGCCTCGGCCCATCGCCTTACGGTCACGATGACGGTGAGCCGAGGTCTTCTTCCCATAATTTAACAGACAAAAGTCCAAAGCAACCCTCTTGCGGTATCCGGTGCGACCAATGTACGAATCCCTTTGACTCGCCTTCTCAAACGAAATAAGAGGTATGCCAGTATAAAAATACAGTGTCAGGGAGTTATAATACAACCAAGGAAAAAACGAAAGGTACGATTAATAAAGTTGCTTTATGAAAATGCCACTTGTTGGGGAAGCTCCTGGCCATTAGAATGGCTAGTGAATGGCACAACCACTCAGTCTAAGCGTGAATATCACCTCCCTGAGCAAGCATGTTGCTTGGTCTTGATTTTGGCCTACAATTTCGTGGCGAATCTATGTGTATGGCTAGGCTATTTTGTCTCCAAACGGTTTATAAATTATATAGATGACAACTTTGTCACTTGGACCAAAGACAAGTGTTATTGCAAACAGGTTTTTTTAGCTGATTGATAAATTGGTTGGCTAGAATAGTTTCACTTTGTAAGTTTACTAAACAAACAGTCTTCATTTTATGGATGCTTCCCTCTTAATTTAGTCTTTAGATTCAGTCACATGACGCCAATATCAATCTGTTAAGGAATTCTTCGAAAACCAGCTTCTTTTCATAGACTGTGTTTGTATTGCCTTTAAAACAGAGCGATTTACAACTTTCAAGTGAGTAGGTCTGGCTTTGGCGAATACGAATCACGTCCGTCATATAAAGTTACGTCATGAATATTTAACACAATTGCTCGTTCTCTGTTTCAGAATACTTGTAGACTCTCCATTTTGGTATTCTGCCTTCATAGCACGTATTTCATGTGCATTAGGATACTCTATCTTATTTGATCACACTATTCGGATTGATACCTTACTGTAATCAGATAATATCTTCTTTTTACTTGTCCTTTAATTATTTCTGATCGTCACCTTAATTAATACGTATCTTATTATCTATTTTAGATGTGCGAATGTTAAATAACCGCTCAGAGATATCCGATAACATGTAAGTTTTATTTATGACTTTTTGATTTTTCATTGCCACGCTCCTATACATGTACTCTCCCCAGGGGCTTTATTTATTGGAATTTCGCGTTAGAAACTGAAATAAGATATTACTTGGTGGACAATTAGCATAGAAGTCTGAACATTTTTTGGGTGATTATTTCTATTCTCCGTAAAAGTCTGTCAAACATTGAAGTATGCTATCACTAGCTCCTCTTGATAAATTCTTTCGTGAATTAGGGAATATTTTATTTAATTGTGTTATATCTCATTTTAAAGACGTCTTAATAATCCATTTTTATAGCTATTCGAGTGTAAACTCCTTCGCGTAATTCTTAGTCATAATCATTTCATTATCTGTGGCGCCTAGGATACATCAGTTAGTGATCTATTGCGTTGAGATAATCGTTTATATTCGTAAATATCAGCATTTGAAAATGAATTAATCTGACCTGTATAAAAAAAAGGTTTGCTTTAACATATGCATTCCACAATATTTTCAATCATCCAACCCGAAAAATTTTAATTCCAACTATATTAAGGGGCAAATTTAAGTAACTTAAGGTTATCAAACTGAATCCTTTTTTGGGCCTCAGACCCTTAAGGCGCCTCTGATTCAATCTCACTATGGTTCTTCGGATACCTCCTGCATACTTATAAATTAGAATTTTGTATGAGTGTTAATGTCAAAATTTATCTTTGTTTCAGACGAAACAAATTTTCGTAGTCCAGAATCTTTCATATACTATTTGGGGCATTCCGAGATGGTGTTTTCGCGAGTTATTTGCTTTTTCAAAGATCTTATTGGCTAGACATGCATATTTGTGAATTT